TATCCCCTTCAAGGGTATGCTCTGATAACTGTAGCACCTCCCACCAGGCTCTATCTTTTGAAGGTTCCATCTCTTTCCAATTGTTCCACAGGGAGGGAAAATGAGCCTTTAACACGTGAGCCTTGGGGGAGACTTACCCAAACCATAGCAGCCACCATAAATTGGTATGAGGTATGGGGACAAACATTACCCACAACTGAGTTGCCATCTGAACTGGAGTAATATGAAATTTGCAGGGATTAGGAAAACCAGCTTCCCAGTTTCTCAGTGAGGTTTGTGTCGACAGTAATATTTGGCATCCTCTATCACCTGCTCTGTTAGACCGATTTCACTTATATATCTCACATTTCCCAGCACCTAAGAAATTTTATTTGCAAAGCCAATGCATTCTTTACCATACACAATATCCCACTCACAACTTTTAGACTATTGAGGAGGATAAATAAATTTGTTTCATGATATTTACCAAGCACATAGTATCAAGTCACATGCAGACCTAGTAAGTTGTGTATATGTGTGCTTGTGTGTGTGTGAGGGGGAAGTCCCTATTTAGTCCCAATTTAATGCAATTTTTTTTAGTTTCTTAATATTCTATAATTAATTTCCAAAACCAAAAATAATTATTATTTACTAAGGTTAATATCACTTTTATTAAAATTATTTACTACCCCAACTCCAAAATGCTGAATATCAAAATTCTATTTCATTTGTGTAAATTCAATTATTCTGAATCTGAATAATCTTCTGCCGTATAGAATGTGGATTTCAATGATTATTCCTTCTGTGCCTCCTAGCACCAAGGATAATTAAATTTGACAACTAATAAAACAATATTTGATACTGAGAAAAACTTTTTATAAACCACTCTGATTTTATTGCTTTATTGGTGTAAACAATCCATCAAAAATGAACTTGAAATAACAAGAACTTGAGCAGATTTTAACAGTTGTTACTATTATTATAAACTTTCCTTGTTAACTGAATTTATGGGTGTGTTATTCATCAGGTAAAGCAAAAGGCAACCACTTTATGTCATATGGACTTTTAAAATATGAAAGCAATTGTATTTTCCACATTAAATCCCCACTCATCACAAGAGTTTCTTAACCTTGGCACTATATTATTTTGGGCTAGGTAATTCTTTCTATGTGTTAAGAGTTATCCTGTTCATTATAGAATATTTAGTTTGGTCCCTGGCCTCTACCTACTTGATACCAGTAGCACCCTCTGAGCTGTGGCAACTAAAAATGTCCCCATCCATTGTCAAATATCTGTAGATGTTGGGCAGAGGGAAACACAATCAGTCCTCTTTATGAACTACTGGTACATAGGAGTTAAAGAACTTCCATTTAAATATTTTTAATCTTTAATATTTGTATTCTCAGAAATTGTATTTTAATGAAATAAGCAACATTAACAACAATAATAACTAATCATCATCATAATATGTATTAACCCCAGAGGTAGAATAACAATAGGAAATTTTTTTTAATTTATGAGCTTTGGATATTGGGTCGTGGCAGATATTCCTGCCCTTAATACTTATTGTAGGAAACAAATTTTCTTACAAAACAGGAGAACACCTGCCTTATCTCTTGTCTAAATATTTTTATAGCTGATAATTATATAAGCTACATTCATTTGGAAGACACACAGATATTTCATAAGCCCCTGGAATACCCAACAGGATTTTTTTGTTTCCCAGTGTCCTCTGACCATCTCAAATGAACTCTCTCAATGATAAGGGCCACCAAGGCAGTAAGGCACAGAGTAACTGAGGAACTTCTTGGGAGTTACATCACTATTGGAATTTCATCCCAGTACCCTCAAATTCTTTTGTGGTCTGATTGACCCAGGAAATGAAGTGTAGGTTTCCATCCTTTGAGATGTTTAAGTCCTCAAAACAGAATATTCTAGAAGATTTAGTGTACCAACTCCCAAAATGCAGAGTCTGGAATTTAGTTCTTTTTAGCAAACACTTGTTGCATGTCCACTGGGCCAGATGATAGTAATTCAAAGATAAAGACTACATGGTCCCCACCTTCAAGATGCTAATGATATACAAAATACCAATAACAGTTAACATTACAGCACAATGGAATGTTTTTTTCTCAACTTAAAGGATGTCACAGGAAGATGAAGGGTCATGTTTTCCCGAAAATAGAGGATAGTCTACAATAAGAAATGTAGATGTTTGGATTGTTTTGTAGATCTCTGAATATAAAGAATTTTTCGAAGTATTTAAGTAGGATCCTTCACTAATTCTTCAGGCTCTTTTATCCCTTGGCATTAGAGCTCCTTGCTGTCCATGYAAACAGCAACACCTTAAAAAAGAGGCATTGAATCAAAACCAGTTGGATTGCTTACAAGCCCAGAATAGTTGGTATTCACTTCTGCAACAATAATTGGTTGAAAACTAACAGGCAAGTATACATTCTTCCACTTGAAATTTTAACCACACTGAAGTACATTTATCTCAGTTCAGAGGCACCTGGCATATCTTGACGTGCAATTGTGCCTCCAAGAAGTGTGAGTTATAGCTATTATATACAGAATGCCCAGACTCCTGACAAAACATTAATTAGGATGTGAAAAGTCAGTAAAAACTGGAACTATTCTTATGTCTTGAAAAGAACTAGGACTTTATGTACAGAGAAATAAATGGATTCTTCACATTAAGTGAAAATAGGTATAGCAAGAAATGGTTTGTGGCATGGGCATTTTATTCCCCACTAAAACTGTGTGTTATAATGACACCACTTAAAATATATTCAAACACTGAATGTTTAAACTCAGCCTATTTCTTCATGGCATGAGCTACTTGAGAAGTTGTGCATGAGAACCATGTGAGTCTACCAAAGTGTGATACAGGACAAACTAGTTTTGACTACCTACTACATGCATTTRTTTCTTGTTTGAGGGTTTGGTTGACTTTGTGTGTTGTTGCTAAATCACCAGGTGCTGCATTTGAAGATGTTGAAGTCATAACCCCAGATATTTTAGCTAGAACCACTGCCTTAATGGCCCAGAGAAACAAGTACAGATGCTTTTAAGTCATCTTAAATTTTAAGTCATCTCTTAAATTTTTGAATAGTAACTCTCACTTAGAAATACTCAGTGACTCAATATACATTATACATACACACACTGTATACAACAAGTATGTTAATGGTACAAAAAGTTTCATGACCTACACTTATGCTTTATCCTTATAATTTGGATTGCACTCAAATATCTTCATTTCTGATTTTTTAAAAGTTTTTTTTAAGATGGACACAATATCTTTATTTATTTGTTTTTATGTGGTGCTGAGGATTGAACCCAGTGCCTCACATGTGTGAGGCAAGCGCTCTACCGCTGAGCTATAACCCTAGCCCCTGATTTTTTAAGATGCTGTTTACAGGTAATAAATTAATTTCACAACCCATAGATTCAGTAATGCTGGCCTAAATAGTCTGCTTTCAACCAGCAATGGGATAAATATGGCATCACTTTGAGCAGGGAAAATACATGAAATGGTGCCATATTTTGATCTACCAGTTAATGCAGAACATTATAAATCTTGTGGTTCATCAGGTTACACCCAGTTTGCTGCAAAAATGGCCTTTTCCTAAATTGCATTTGCTGAAGTCACTTCCAATATTTCTTAATCATATCAAAGGCTCTAAGAAAATCAGTTATTGTTAAATGGATAAACACATGTTGTACTCCTAGACTCAAATTTATTTGAAATGTCAATAGCAATTTACCTGACAGAAATGTGAAGATAAATAAAGCAGTACATACTCTTTAACTGAGCCATCACCAGTTGGCTCCATAATCTGTTTATGTTGCTACATATCTTTATTAGAATACATATTTAAGAATTCATATAGTGTAAAGACAAGTATCTGATGTTTTCTCTCAAATGTGGAATCTAGAGGGAAAAAAAAGTACATAATGAAAGTCACATGGAAATCATTAGGTTAAAGAAGGGGACCAGAGGAATGAAAGGTAGGTATTGGAGTGAAATTGATCAAATTATGTTACATACATGTATGAATATGCTACAATGAAACCAAACTATTCTGTTTAATTAATGTGCACCAATGAAAAAATTTAAATTTAAAAAATAAATCGTTTTATCTATGCTACCTTACTTTCTGAACCCTACTTCCTAAAATTGGGCATTAAGACCCATTTCAAATTATAATGAAATCTATGGCCCTAGATTTCATCTCCCTAGAATGAATAAAATTTTGTTCTTTGAGAACACTTCACCCAAGTAGAGATCATTCAGTGACCATGTCATCTCTCCAACTCAGTCAGCAGCTCTTTTAATTACCCCTGCTGTGAGGAAGTAGTGTACCCCATCCCGTTCGAGTGTGCTTGATCATGTCTATTTGATTTTACCAGTGTCTATTTGAAGTATGCTCATTCAGCAGTAATATTCACTGGTTGGGACTCGAGCCAGTGAGGGACCTTATTGGCTCCCTGTTTGTCAACACATCAGGCTGACTGGGCTGGGGGGAGAGCTGCTTTTGGATGGTAGTATGTACATATTGCCAAAAGCCCCAAAGATGTGTTTGTAGCTGTTTCCAGAGTTTCCATCTCATGAATAGACATGTCACAGTGTCTCTTTTTGAAATGAGTTAATTAGAATATTCACTAGATTATACCAAATTATTGTAACTTTTTGTAAATATCATGTAGAACATTTGACACTGAGCAGAAAGTCCATCAGAATCTCAAGCGAACCTCTAAACAAAATGAGGGGGGAACCACTCCACCTTCTGGCCATATAGCCTAATTACAGGTTCAGGGTTTTGGAGGAATAATAAACTGCTAGTAAACATGAAGAGTATAATATTAAAATTACAAAATGACAGAAAATATATATTACTTGATATTCTGGTGTTGGGAGAGAGTATGTGTTGTTGGTGTTTGCTTTGGCTTTGCCCTTCACATCTCCTGTTAGCTGGGCAGGCCCCAATTTCATGTATTCTCTGGACTTCCCACAGGATTGGAGGAGCCATTCCCACTGTGTTCTCCTACTTTGCTGAAGTGCTGGCCCGGGAGAAGCGGGGTGAGCATCTGAGCTGGCTCTGTATGTTCTGGATGATCGGCGGCATCTATGCCTCTGCCATGGCCTGGGCCATCATCCCACACTACGGTAAGAGGCTGGCCTTGCAACAGCCAAGGGGCCACCTGGTTTTGCTTCCAATTCCATCCCCATATTTTCCTGTCTTCTACGTGCTATTTTGAGGTCTTGATGCCCAACACTATCATCATCATGGTTCTCCCTTTCATAGTGTCTACGAGTGGGTTTTTTTTTTTTCTGTGCAAAGATTGGAGTAAAGTAAGACTGTGTTAAGTGGTTCTTTGGGTATATTGATATAATAGAAAATAATATATTTTCCTCTGCTATGCTCTCACAATAATTCTGGCCACCCAAATGCATGGGCATTTTTTCCCCAGSAACCAGTTCTCCCATAGCTGGCTGGCCTTCAATTTAACTCAGTTCTGACACTATTTACCTGGGTTTAGAGTCAGATCCCACAAGCTCAGGACTCAGGCCCGTGAGATTGCCCCTCACTTCAGATGCCAGTCGCAGGTCCCAGAGGCCTCTGGAACTTCTGACTGACCAAATGTAAATTGGGTGTTCCCACTGTCTCCCTCTTCAGGATCAATCAGTTGCTAGAATGGCTCACAGATCTCTGGAAAACAATTTGTATTTCTCAGCTTATTATCGAGGATATTACAAAGGAAACAGATGAGCAGTCAGGTGAAAATACACAGGGAAAGGAGAAGAGTCCCTGTGCCTTCTCCAGGCTCACTACCTCCTGACACCTCCGTGCATTCATCAACCTGGAAGTCCTCCAAACCCCATAGTTCAGGGATACTTAGAGGATTCTCTAAAAGTCACATGGGCTTGGTCAATTATTAACTGGATTTCCAGCCTCTCTCCCTTTGTCAGAGGATGGAGGGTGAGGCTGAGGCTTAGTCTTTCTAAGCAGACCCCGCCCAGCAGACCAAAAGCAGCCTCATTAGAACAAAAACACCTTGTTACCCAGAACATTTCAAGGGTTTAGGAGTTCTGTGTCATGAAATGGGGATGAAGATCAAAATATATATATTTCTTACTAAAAAACACATTATCATAGTATACTATATAGCATTCTGCTGGCTTTTAAAAAATTTGTTCTTTTTAAATATACATGATAGTAGAGGATATTTTGACATATTATACATATACAGCGCATTCTAATATTTTTAAAGCCTATACTTATTTGTTTACATAACATATTTTAAAGCCAGGACTTATTTGTTTACATAACATATGTGCTATCAATCCTGGTATTTCCTCAGACAGAGGTGAGAGGATGCACAGATCATCACCAGCATTTAAGGCAAAATGACTTACAGCTGTTCTTGTGACTATCTACAATTCACACACACACAGGTGCCTGTATTCCTACCAGCCTCATCTCCTCCACCTCCAGGCAGCTCAGAACTGGGTTGGAAACACTGGAGTTCTATCTTAAGGACCCTTGATTTGCAGAATTGACCTGTCTGTGCTTCTAAGAGCCTCTCCTTAGTTTCTCCTAAGCACTTACTATCCTGCCATCCCAGAGTATTTAAAAGTTCCATATGTCTAAGCAATGCTCTCCTGCTCAGAAACTAGGAGCTTCAAGTTGCTTTGCCCACAGATGGTAAAATGCAGGGATAAGTGAACAGAATGCAGGAATCAGATTCAATATATAAGGAAAAGAGGAGATGTTTTGGTCACATTTGTGACCATACACATACACAAAGAAACAGGCCAAAGTTTGCAAAATAGGAATAGGAATACTGTATAAATTAAAACCACATATGGCCTCAAGACTCACCCTTTGGGAGCTGGTTGTGAAGCTCAGTATGCCTAGCATGCATGAGGCCCTGGATTCAATCCTCCAGTGCTGGGAAAAAGAAAAAAGAAACAACACATTTAGCTGGCTCTAAAATCTAATCAATCTCAAAAATTAGATCTCAATAACTCACTTTCCTCATTTTCTATTTTTCTGCTTTTGTTTTAGAACAGAGCAATTTTTCATTATAAAGCATAGCTTTGTTAAAGGACAACCTCAGAGAATTTGATTCATTGTCTATRTCAGACATAGACTTTGGTAATCAGAAGCACTATAATTTGTTTTACCCTACTGAATCCAAAATTCATGTTGTTGCTCTCTTTCTTTTGATAAACCTAAAAAGTCATATGAAAACTGAAATCGTATTTAACAACAAAAATAAGACATAGGAGTTGGTTACTTGACCCATAAAGAACTTTCATTTGCTGAACATTTAAATTAGCTCAGGTGATAGGTCTCTTCTGTGTGGATTCTGGTTGCTTCTAGTCCAAATATGTCTTCACATAGCCAGGACCTGCCACCATCTGAGGGATTAAAGGTTTTTCCTCCTTCATCTGGGGCCTGAAGACTTCATCAAGCCTCAGGACCTTCCTCTGTAGGACAACATTTAATTCATACCCCACTCAGTTCACTGGTTCAAATAGAAAAGACACTTAGGGATTGTTTCGTTGAACTTTATTTAAGGAGACAAAAGGAAAGTGCAGAGCTTCAACAGAAGAACCCACCAGTTCTTCCAGAAATGCTGCTAGACCGTCCTTAGAATGCCTTTGTGCAAATGAAAATAAGGTGCCCATCCACCTTCCCAGGAGGACTTAATTGCAGCCTCACTCACCATCTCTACCAGGTGCTCATGCAGGGTGCAACCTGGCAACTTCACAAGGCAATGCATTACTTTATCTTCTTCTCTCTCTCTCCGATTACTTCTTAGCCACCTCTAAATCAGCCTTGTCCTCTTTGTTATGACAGTACTGCTTCTTGGCCCCTGGTCCTCCCTTTCCACCATATAGGTCAGAATTTTACCGGCTTGCCTTCCTAAGCTTCTAACCTGCATTGGCTTCTGTGGTCTGCATACTCCCTTGAAGACTGGACATGATTGTTTTTATTTCTAATTTTTTCCTCACTAGGGATCCAGTTCCTCTGACTCTGCCTTTCTTTCACATAGCCTGCCCTTGAACTATGGATGATTCAAGATTGTTTCTCTTGCTTTGCCAACCATCAGTCAGTGATTGACCCACAAAGAATAATAGTCCCCAACTTTATTTTTCCATAACACACATAAGATAGCTCTTGTTTGTATCAGAAAGGGCTAGCTGATCCACATGTAACTAGAACAAGGGAAGGTTGTGAACCATAAACAATGCATGAAAAGTTACAGAAACAATCACAGCACAACAAAATTAAATGTCTGAAGCCGACTTTAATTTTATGCTGAAAATACCTTAAGATATTAAAATCTTATGGTCCTATTTTATTGAAGGTTTTCTGTGGCCAGAAATGTAGTACCAACAACAAATTATTTCAATCAATCCTGGCTGCAAATTAGAATCAACAGGGGAGATCTTTTAAAATGCCCTTGCTGAGATCATTGTTATGCTCTTGCAAGTTGAAGAGTTTTGTTTGGGTTTTTAAGGTTGAATTTTAAAACTCCTGTGTTGAGGTATATGAGTGATCATGATGCTCTGTGGATGGGTTTTTCAGGGGCATTCACATACAAAAAGTCATAAAGCTGGGTTCTTAAGATTTGTGCCTGTTGCTATGTGGGTGTTAAGCTTTTTCATTTAATTTAATTTCTTTTAGTAATTTTTCCATTTCTGCACTCCCTTGAAATTACCCAAGTTTGAATCCTTTCCCAGATCAATTAAATCAGATTATCTGGGCCAGGAACCCAGTGATGAGCATTTCGATTTTTATTTTTTCTAGTTTAAAGTATGATTAACAAGTAAGAATTATTTAGTGTGTACAACTTGATTTTTTTATGAATGTATACCTTGTGGAATGATGATGCAATCAAACTAATTTACATACCCATCATCTCCAGTGATTATCTTTATGTGTATGTGTGGTGAGAGCATTTAAGATCTACTCTTATAGTAAATTTCAAGTACATGATGCATTATTATTATTAACTATAGTTGCTATGTTGTATATTATATCTTCAGAATTTAGCATCTTGTGATTTTATATTCCTTATACTCTTTGACTACCATCTCCCTATTTCCTGAAAACTACTCTTCTACTGTCTGCTTCTATTATTTTGGCTTTTATTTTTTAGATTCCACATATGAGATCATGCAATTTTTACCATTCTGTGTCTGGCTTATTTCACTTAGCATAACGTCCTCCAGTTTTATCCATGTTATCTTCATGGTAGACTCTCCTTCTTTCTTTAAAATATTTATTTAGTTGTAGATGGACACAATGCCTTTATTTATTTATTTTTATGTGATGCTGAGGATTAAATCCAGTGCCTCACAAACATAAGGCAAGTGCTCCACTGCTGAGCTATAACCCAGCCCAATTTCCTTCTTTTTTAAAGCTAAATAATATTCTAGAGATTCAAAGTTCTACAGTTTAAAGTCTTACATTTAAGTCTTTAATCCATTTTTAGTTGATTTTCATTTATGGTGCAAGAGAAAGTTCTGAGTGCATTCTTTTGCAAGTGAATATCAAGTTTTCCCAACCATTTTTTGAAGAGACTCTCCTTTCTCCCATTGTATATTTCTGGTGCCTTCTTGAAGATTGTTGATCATATATGCATGGATTTGTTTCCAGGCTCTCTATTAGGTTCCATTGGGGTATCTAAATGTTTATGTTAGTACCATTCTGTTTCAGTAGCTATAGCTTTGTAATATAATTTAAAATAAAAAATTGTGAGGCCTCCAACTTTGCTCTTGCTTAAGATTGTTTTACCTACTCAGGATCTTTTGTAGTTTCATATGGTTTTAAGGGTTTTTTTTTCTTTTTCTTTTTCTTCAGAGTGGCTAGGAGGGCAGACTCATCTTTATTCAGAAGCTAAATTTTCATAGGAGATGCTTCATTTGTACTTAAATTTCATAAAATTTTAAGGATTGCTTTTTCTAATTCTATGAAAAGACACTGAATTTTGATAGATATTGCACTAAATCTGTTGATCACTTTGGGTAACATCAACATTTTGACTATTAATTTTTCTAACCCATGAACATAAGGTATCTTTCCCTTTATTTTTCCCTTATTCTGTTTCTTTTGTTAGTATCTTTTAGTTTTCAGTGTTCAGATCTGTTAT